AACATTTGAAAATACTGAAAAATGGCCAAAGCAAAGTGTCCAAGACTCATTTTGATCACTTCGTTCAGTGATCACAACATTATTGGCAGTAATGACTAATCCACTGCGTTTAGCAAGAACTACCCTAAGCTGCATGTACAATTGGTCACTCAGTTCCTTATTCTATATTTTTTAATAACAAAAGGGAATATTGATATAGAAATATCATTACCTTTGGTGTGAGAAGTCATAGTTTACACTTGAACCTCTTCCACCTGCCATCTGAGTGATCTTATCCTTAAGTCTTAGTTATTCATATATTCCCTCCTGAGACGCAGTTTCCTCATTTTAAAAACAGAGCAAAGCCACAGCTGTGCAAAGAAGATTTAATAAATAAGTTATGGGAAGAACATTCATAAACTCAAAAAGTCCTATGAAACCATACATTACATACAAATAAAGCAACATTCTTTTGTATCTTCATAGGTAAATTCAATTATTAATGCATGATAAAATAATTTTAAAAGAGATTGGACAAAGTTCAACCATGGAAAATATTTCTGCTTTAATTTTCTACAAAGCATCAAAAGTTAAAAGGTTTAAGGTAGAAACTCCTTTTTCCAATTTTCCAATAACTTATAATATCCTGCCTTTAGTGTACCTAGAATTAAATATCTATAGATAAACCAACACAGTACATTATTTTTCCAGTCAGAATTTCATATTACTTTTCCATTATCTGTTTCCCTCACTTTAAACACTGAATGGTTATACCGCAACATGAGTCAAGAAACCTGAATTCCTATGGTTGGCACATGAGAATAATATGGTTTTGTACGGAAGATCAGTGATTCACAATGTTTTATAGGAGTAATTATTTTGTTACATTTTTTGAGTCATGAAAATATATGTTTTATTCAGAGAGGGCAGAGATCAGTGTTGTGCTAATTTAAAAACTGAACTCTGTAATGTGGTTAATGATGGATCGGATACTGCTTATGTCAAATCTCCAAGAATTTCCTTTCTTTTCTCCTAACACTTCATTTTCTTTCCATTTCTCTTCAGCGATCGTAGTAATTTTTATCACCTTGAGGCGCAGCAAGAAAGAGCCTTTGATCATTTCAGAGGAGGATGTGCGGGAGAACGTGGTCACCTATGATGATGAGGGTGGAGGGGAGGAGGACACTGAAGCCTTTGACATCACAGCCTTGAGGAATCCTTCTGCTGCTGAGGAGCTCAAGTACCGGAGAGATATCAGACCTGAAGTGAAGCTCACTCCCAGACACCAGACATTGTCCACCCTGGGAAGTATAGACGTTCAGGAATTTATTAAGCAAAGACTGGCAGAAGCAGACCTGGACCCTAGTGTGCCCCCTTATGACTCTCTTCAGACTTATGCCTATGAGGGTCAGAGATCAGAAGCTGGATCTATCAGCTCGCTGGATTCAGCAACCACACAATCAGACCAGGATTATCAGTACCTTGGAGACTGGGGACCTGAGTTTAAAAAGCTAGCTGAACTCTATGGAGAAATAGAATCGGAAAGAACAACTTAGGGGGTTCATTCTTGCAACTTTGTAGAATTTGCTTCCCTACCAAGTGGATATATAACCTCAGCAATGACAAGGAAGAAGCGTGTAAACAGTACTAGGAACTGAGCAAGCTGTACACAGCTCCTGTAGAAACAAGTGCCCTTTTCATGATCAAAACTGGGTTATTCAATTGGAAGAAAGTCAGATCTAAAAGAAAAAAAAAAAAAATACAGAGAAAAAGCTATTGTTTCTTGTGTATATTTTCAATTGCTCAATAAAGTCTGTGGTACTGTTTAATTAATATCTGAATTAAGCCAAACAATGATATTTGTTTCAATATTTTGTGATTTTTTCAAAAGCAAAACTAAAAAAGGATCAAAATTACTGATGACTATGATTTAAAGGGGTGGCACTGCAAAAGGAAACTTGTGAAGGTAATGCTGACCTCTTTTTCCACTTTTCTGGGTGGATCTTGAGACCCACAGTCTGTGATTGTGAAAGATTTCATTAGCTTTGTCTTGTGTTTAAGTTACATGGGGTATTTCCAGTACACCAAGCCACTCTGTCATGGACTTGTATGTACCATTCCCTCTGCCCTCCCCACTTCTTTTCTCCATACAAAATTGATGGAGCATGGGGATTTGCTGCCTGCACTATAATGTATGCAACTTTGGTGCACCTGTGTGCACTGTACTGAGCACGAGACTACTGTCTCTGTCCCATCTGCCCCCTTTATTTTAACAGGAGGCCCCCCCTTTTTTAAATAAGTAGAATAAATGGCTTAAGGTATGCTTTGATTATCTGATATGTCAGGGAAAGATTTCATTTTTAAAATAGCTACAAACTTTATCCTGTACAAAACATTAGAAAAAAAAGTCTTCCTTTTTTTCCCCCCATTTGTTTTAGTACATATAAATCAGGGAAAGATTTCATTTTTAAAATAGCTACAAACTTTATCCTGTACAAAACATTAGAAAAAAAGTCTTCCTTTTTTTCCCCCATTTGTTTTAGTACATATAAATTGGCAATTTTGTTCATTCCTGTTCCCAGAATTCGTTGTCAAAATTTTACTTATTGGTTTGTACTTCAGTCTGAGTTATTTTCATCATAGACAGTCATAAAAAATATGTACCTCGCACAATAACGATGTAGTGTGAAAAGACTATTTTCCAATTAACATAAACTTGGTTTATGGTTAACTTTTACTTTTATTCCTTACACTGGTTCATACTTTCTTTGTCTCACTACTGGTTAATCCTTACATGTTTGGCAGCTACGGGAAAAAGTATAGACCTAGGAGCAAAGAAATAGGAGATTCGTACTTATCCCTGGACACATCCGTGAAAGTCTCTGAGTTTCAGGGATGAAAACTGCAAACTGGAGATGTCAATGACTTCCCTGCCTACCTCACAGGGTTGTTGTGAGGATCAAATAAGCATCTGTAAAAATGCTTTGCCAACTGCAAAGTATTGTGTTCCATAAAGGCTTGTTGACACTTTTAATTTTCTAATTCCATTAGCTTATAAGTATATACTTACATGCATTTTGCATCAAATATTATATTATCATGGGAGAATTTTGTGACACCTTCAACGGTGAAGTTGCTGTTTAAATATATAATACAAAAGTCTAATTATTTGAATATTTTCTTAAACAATCTAATTTCTTAGAATTTCTTGGGGCTTTTTTCCCCCCAAAATTGTTTTAGATAATATTTTGTTGGTGTTGCTACTGGTCTTGAAGTAAGAATTCAGTGTGATGGTCATATTCTCCAAAAATGACCACATCTATGTATTTTAGATCAATTGGAATTTTTAAATCAGTGAAGTAAGAATTATTAGAAGAGAGTTTTTCCTTTGTTCTTTAAATTTATCATCATCTAGTGTCTCCAAGAGTTATATGACATTTTCTGTCTGATTCTACCCATGTGCAAAATTTTGGATTTTGCCTCTGTTTGCAACTGCCCTGTGCTATCATATTACAATCTTGAGGTATGGGAAGTAAGTTTAAATTGAATAATTCTCAATTTGTGTTTTAAGCCTGAGGAATAAAATGTAATTTAAGCTTTTTACAACATTTTAGCTTTCAGATGCTGCTTCATCATTTTTTATATCATAATGGTGTGCATTCCAGTGTAGAGCTAAATCGAAAGTGACACTGAGGGTCTTCGGGGAAAAACCTCTGGATACGCATACTCTGATTATGCCAATTCTGGATTACATCCACTTTGAAAGGAGGGTAAACTTGGAGAACAATTGCCGATCTGGTGTTTTGGCTTTCCTATGCAGGGAGGACCAGGAAGATCAGGTTTTGGAAGTCCATTAAGCTTTTTTATTTAGATTTTAAATAAACTTTTTTTTAAGTCATGTGGTGTCAACTTTACAAATAAGGGTTTGAAAGATGATGATGGAAGTGTATACATTTTACCATTTACTTAAAAGTCAGAATCTTCTGCATCTTTCTGAGTACTAAAATATTTCCCTGATTTTGAAGAACAAAACACTCCAGATCTAATTTTAATTACACATTAAAATGACAATGGATTGTGTCTAAGCCCTTGATTTTAAATCTAAATATGAAGGCAGAATGGAGCCTCAGTAGTCTGGAAATATTATGTTTCCATGTTTATTTTACAACTTTGTTAGTTAAAGCACTTCAAGTACTATTTTTTTATATGCGCTCTGAAACTAGGCAATTATATTATTATCATAAGTGTGCATTGGGTCTCATAGTTTTATTCTGCTACTGTGTGTGAAGACAACAGTACTATCATATAAATGCTCTGGAAAATGGCCAGAATAATTGAACACTCAGTACCTTACTTTCAAATCTCCAGTTTATCCATATTAGAAAATAGTTCTCATTGAGTTTAGTGAGTCAAGAGTTTGTACATCAGCTGTGAATGTTCACTGGCCACAAATAATCAGCTATGGTACTACACACCACTAATATGTCTCAGCACATTTTGTAAGCCTTAGTTGATATTTATATACCTAAATAAAATATAACTTTGAAATCAATTTACTTCATTTTAACAGAATAATTTTCTACAGACTCTGTATAAAATGGTGGCTGCCAAATTAAAGAAAATATCAATAGTATAACAACATTCTTGTCCAAGGTGTTTCTTAGCAGAATTTATTAATTCCAAGTACTCTTTGTGCAAATGCTGAGAAATTAATAGGTTTTGCAGAAATCACAAAAGATCTATCATAAGAAATTCTTGCTGTGACAAATCTGTACAAACACAGATTTGAAGATTGAAGAGGAAGAAGAAATTATCACTAAGAGGAGGCTCTATACAGTTAAGTTGTAACTTTCCTAATACTTGATGTAAGAAAAAAATGTTCTAAGAGAAATTACATTCACTTAACCACACGTGTGTGCACAATCACACATATATATCTTCTTGAAGAATATTTGGAGAGTTGGGCTGACCCCGTGGCTCACTCGGGAGAGTGCGGAGCTGGGAGCGCAGCAGCGTTCCCGCCATGGGTTCGGATCCTACATAGGGATGGCCGGTGCACTCACTGGCTGAGCATGGTGCGGGCGACACCAAGCCAAGGGTTGCGATGCCCTTACCAGTCACGAAAAAGAAAAAAAAAAAAAAAAGAATATTTGGAGAGTAAAAGAATATTCAAAACAGGGACTTGGATATTAGTGTGGTACAAATATATGATGTATATAAGATTGTAGTAGCCAGCATATAGAAGATTTGGCAAGAAGTTAAAGAACTTTTTCAGCCTTTATTTGGTATCCAGCCTCTGCCTAGCCTTTAGTGACATCAGTTGATTGGAGCTGATTCACAGATGTGGTTACAAAAAGGGCAAACAAAACTATCAAATAATAATAAATCAAAATTTTAGAAATGATGTCCTAACGTATACAGTGTGGCTATTAAGTTAACACATGCATTGACTTAGATGCTTACTGTACTACAATTTAGCCAGAAATCTGGGTAGAAAGCAGGAGGTGAGTCCACCATTATTACCATTGCAGAACTCTTAATGCACAATCAGTTGTTTTCTTTGCTCTTACAGACCTGCAAAGGAGGATTTCTCTTCTTTTTGGTTTAACTGAACATATACCAAAAACAAACAAAAATTGAGGTAGACTCATTTCAGAACCGTCAAGAAGGGCCAGTTGACTAGCATGGGAATAGGTACACGGGAATATGCTTGAATCTAATGTTATGGGGGAAGTTTTTATCTATTACTGTGGACAGTGTTTGACCAGCTATCAACATATTGCAACTCTAGCAATAATCATTCTGGAAGCAAGGAAGAGTCGCATGTTTCAAGCTCAAATTGTGCTTCTAGAAATATTATTAAATTTACTTGGCTTTTAATTTCAAGAATAGAACAAATCTCAGAACAGTTCTTGGGAGATATATGACTAAAATTCAAAATCCCTCTTTTTTATTGTTTAGGAATAATGGCAAATTAAATATTATCTGTAGGAAACAAAACCACTTAAACTTTTATTTTCTGGCTCATCTGCTCAAGGTAAATCATTTTACAATATCAGAGTAGAAGTTTCATAGATCCTACAGCCAAAATTAGTTCACAAGCATTTGAAGATAAGCCTAGCACAGAGTCCAATCACTTTTTAAAGTTTCCAAATACATCATTTTTAAATAAAAATGTTAAATGAAACACTTTTTAACATGTTAAAAGACATGTTCCTTCTCTAACTGGTACCAATTAAACACGTAGTGAGACCATTTTTCTTTTTGTTTTGTTTTGTTTTGTTTAATAAAGGAAGAGATCAAAGAAAAACAGAACATACTCTTCTTTGAAGCATTGATTTTTTAAAAAAAAAAAAAAAAAGAAAGAAAGAAAGAAAAAAGCTTTTAATCTAGTGAGGAATAGTTACATTTACCCACTTTGCTGAGTTTATGGAAATGAAAGATTTTTGCCCTTCAACCCTATAGAGAAATAAAAACCTATTTTAGAAATGATTAAAAAAAAAAAAAAAAACCTCTTAGATGAAAGCAAATGGACAAAATAAACATTTGAGAACACTTGAAATTATATTCTATGAGGAAAGCAAGTGACCTTTATAGATTACAGTGGATTTAATAGATGGCTTAGTCTTATTGACTGGCAATACTAGCTTTGGAAACAAGAAAATGGGTCACAATAGTTAGTGTCACCCTAACAATTTTATGAAGTCAATATATCTTATGTCAAAAAGCATCAAATGCTTACTTTAAATTCTTACTGGCATTTGCAAAGTGTCGTTTCAAATACTGTGGTTTCAGACAGAAATTCATACATGCTAACATTTTAATTAAGGTAT